AACTCTGTGCCTGGGTATTTTTCACTATTTTCCTACCCTAAGAAAAGGAATGAGGTAGAGAGAAGGAAAACAACTTGCCCAAAGCCACACACCTAGTTAATGGTAGAGTTGGAATTTGAGACCAGACAGACTGTGCTCCTAACCATGGGTACACTTAGGGTCCAGGTTATCCATCCTGTGTGACTCTCTAAGAAGGAGCAATCTCCTTGTCTAGAGAAGTCAAGGAAGCCTTCCTGGAGGAGCTGGAATGTCAGGCAGGAGCTATCACACAGAGGTGCCAGGTCAACTTGCCCTCTACTGTGGCTGCTCTACCTGACTCATTCCTGACTCCAGCTCACTGATGCTAGTTCGCCTCCCCAAAGCAGAGTGTTGTGGGCAGGGTCAGGAGCGGCCAGGATGCAGGCACAGCCTGTGCCTCTTCCCTTGCTTCTGGTATAGGGATAATGAGCAGAACTTGGAGAACAGAGTGGCCAGCACCTGCGTTCAAACCGTGGCTCCCCCACCCCAAGCCCGCCCCTGTTCCTCTACAGCTGCACGATGAGATTGCCCTGTGCGCTGCTGGGCCCCAAGGCCCAGGGTCAGGCAGGCAGCACTTAAATACTTTATTAGCCAGACAATACCTTGCGTCTGGTCCAACCCAGCAGCCCACCAGCGCCACACCTGCTTCTAGGCCCTGAGGGAGAAACGTAGACGTGTGCTCCAGAATGTGGGTTATCCTTCTCTTTCTGACCCAAGCCAAAGAGGCGATTTCCCTGCAGATGGTTCTAAACTGGAGCTCTCAAAATCTTGATCCTGCTACTGTAGCCATTGGACTGCATGGACCTGCCCTTGGACCCTGAATCCGACGGGTCCTGCCCATGGAGAACGCAGGCTAGTCTGAACCCCAAGCACACATTCTAGGACCAAAGGAAAGGAGCGCGGGGGCATGGCTGTGATGGCAAGGTATGTGGTGTTTCTGTGTGCACAGAGGTGCGGGATGCCCCCCATCCTAAAAGGTGGTGCCTTCTCAGCCACTCTCCCCTGCAAGGTGCAACCCACCCCACACGGCTCCCTGACCACCAACCACTAGCGGCCGGCCTGGAGCGGGGTTCTCCGGAGATTGAGGAGGAAGATCCCAGAGTTCCCACAAGAGTGATTATTTGCTTAGTCATGTAAGCACGCTCTCCCCCGGGCAGGCGAGGGGCCGAGGGGGGCATCTGTCTTCTGCAGGATCCAGGCAGGGCTCATCCCAGACCCTGAGACTCTGACCTGGGAGCCACCCGGGCGCCCTCCCACCAGCTTTTAAAGGAGAAGGGTGTTGAGCAAGCAATGTCCTGGAGGCAGAGCTGGTAAAACGAAATCTTTATGGGTCAAATCTTATTTCCCCCCGATGATACAATGGTTCTTTCTCTCAAGTATAACTAGGGAAGCTGGCAAAGACAGAGGGTATCATCTGCCAATTCTGTTTGCTTAAAAGAAGGCAGATCGGGCTTTTGGGAGCTGGGAAAGCATTTTATGGCCCCAGCAAGATGAAGCCCCTCCCTTGGGGGCCCGCTGGGGCCTGCACCCTGGGCAGACGTGGGAGCCGGGTGAGGGGACGGCCCCTGGCAGGGAGGGACAGGCCTGGTGGCCGGCACGGGTCAGGCCGACCTTCCACAGCTCTCCTCTCTCCTCTGTCCTCGCCTCAGTCTTGCAGCTGAGAAGCTGAGGTTCAGAGTCGAGGTCCTTATTGGCTTCTTTAGACCAGAAAACCAGGCCAAGTCCTCTGCACTCTCTTTTCCTTGAGGTCATAGGAGAAAGGCCTGCTTGCCCTGCCCATCGCCCGCTCCCACCCAGCTGGTTAGTGGCTCACTGGGGCTGGGTTGCTAGTAAATCCCCAGGAAGTGCCCCAGTACGCTGGAGGAATGTGTGTGTTTGGGGGGCCGGGGGATGTCTTCTGAGCACTGACGATCCCAAGGAGGCTGTGAGGCTGGGGCTCGGGGAGGGAGGAGTGTCCCTGAGCTGACAGCCATGGGCCAGTGCTCTGACACCTGGCCGCTCAGTCCACAGAGCTGGGGGTGCTCCCGGGGAGGACGGACCAAAGGGCAAGGCACCCAGCTCTGCTCCAGGCACAAGACCAAGCCCTGCAGGTGCTTAACCATCCCCGGAGAGCGATGCCGGGCCACCTGCAGGCCCGAGGACTGTGACTGTGACGTGAGCTCCTGTGGGATGGCTGCCCCCCCTCCGGCCCCCAGGCTTTCTATCTGAAGTTGGGCCAGCAGACCTGAGTTTTCCACTCAGAACAAGCATTCGGTGCCAGTCCTCTGTCTGTCCTTGGCCAGCCTCTCCTTAGATGGACACCGTGGTCCATGAGGGAATCGGTTCACTGGTCTTGTACCCCAGTCGCTGTGGCCTTACTCTCTGCATGAAGAGGTTCCCGGGTGCACACCTCTCCACCTGCTGGGCTCCCCCTCAGCCTAGGCCTCCCTCAGCTCTCAGAGCCTTGGTCACAGGCCTCAAGGGTTTCTCTCATCACACAAAATGCAAACACAACTGGGGAAGGGGCCTGTTGACTCTTGGGCTCAGGAAAGACATGTGTTCTAGAAAGCCAAGGTCAGAGGCAAGCAGGGCCCCTTTGTTGGGTTAAATGCTCTGCTGCCACTGTCCTGGCATTCTTTTTTTTTTTTTTTTTCTTTAAGATTATTTATTGGAGAGAGAACTTGAGAGCAGGGGGAGGGGCAGAGGTGGAGGGAGAAGGATAGGCAGACTCAGCTCAGTCCCGATGTGGGGCTCCATCTCACGACCCTGAGATCCTGCCCTGAGCCGAAGCTAGGAGTTGGACACTTAACCAAATGAGCCACCCCAGCACCCCCATCCTGACATTCTTAATAATCGTATCTTCCAATTTGTGTTTTGCAAGTGAAGCCCAAAGGACGTTGAGGAATGCCTGTGGGCAGAGGAGACACGCAGGCCGAGGAGCCTAGCAATGTGCACAGGCCTGTTCCTTGCTGTTCCACATGCACAGAGCATTCCAGCTGCCCTGCGAGCACTGAATTTGGGGGTACAACACATGGGAATCCAGCAAGACCCAGTGCAAGGGCAAGATAAGCATGTTGTCAAGAGGCCATGCTTTCAAATCAAATCAGAACTCGGCTCAAGTGCAGAAAGGAGGCAATGGTGGTCTAAGAAGAGGGAACCTCTAAGCAGGTGGTTCCTCTCTTTTCTCGCTCAGGTTTCTTCCCTGTAGGAACCAACCACTTAGGCTAAGAATGACCCGATGATTTGGCGATTCCACAGACCAACTAAAGACTCTTACTTGCATGTAACACTGGCATTGCACACTATAAAAACCAGTAAGATGGACACAAATAATTTATATTCTTAATTTCTCTTTACCTAGACTGGCATTAAATAGCAAAAAACAAACTCTCAAGACCATACAAGAGGTAGACACTGAAAGAAAGGAAAATCTTCATATTTTTGTTCCCTTAATGGTCTTTTTTCCTGCTTTTTGAGCAAGGGGTCCCTTGTTTTCATTTCGAAGGAGGCTTGGCAGTTTACGGAACCGACTCTGGAAGCAAAGCTGAGGTCAAAAATCTTGCCTGGTGCTGAGGCAACCTCAGGCAACTCTTCACTCATTTGAGTTCTAGTTCCACATCTGGAAAGTAGAGGAAGAACTTCAGAGCTGTGGAGGGTTACGGTGAGTGATAGGATAGCCGCACCTTGTTGACCCCTGGAGCTGGACAAGGTGCTGTGCTAAGTGCTTCACCGCTCCATCTCCTTTCTTCCCCAGAGCAACCCTGTCAGCGGGGGTATCAGCCGCTACGCTGGACTCCCATGGTGTTTGGGCCCAGCTGGCATGCGTGCTCATTGCTGCTGCTGTACCCAGCTCTGTCCTGGGGACCATCATGGTATTATTACGTGTACAGTTTGGTGGGACGGTCTCATATCCTTTCTTAGCCACAGGGCAGGTCTGTGACCCCACTAGCTCGGTCAGCAGGCCTGTGACCCCACTAGCTTGGTCAGCTCTGTCTCCCAGATCTGTGTTCATGAGAGGCCATACCCCCCACCCCCAACTGGATGCAGCCTTGGTTGGTTCTAGCTTCTAGGATCTCGGAATATACCTCAGGGGCCTGAAGTCTCTGAGACCCAATTTCTGCATCAGCTCCCCTTATTCTGTGAGCCACCTACATCCAGCCCCCAAGTCCGCCTTTGTTTAAGTGAACCAGGGTCTGTTTCTGATGCCAACTCAAAACCCCTAAATGCTTACTCCTCCTCAGTTTCCAGATAAGGATACCAGGCTCAGAGAAGTAAAGCAATCTGCTCCATGCCCCACAGTAAGTGAGTAGCAGAGCCAGCATTTGAACACAATAATGTCAGGATGCAGGATGCTCACCTTCTTCTGTCTCTAATATAAGGTGCCCCGTGCAATGCCCTGAATGGACGCTCCCTTCTACCCAATCGTGATACAGTAGCTGCTGTGCCAGGCTCATTGCCTCTCAGCAACCTCCACCTTTAGTGACCTCAGCTCACAGATCTTTGCTCTGTGGGTCCCTAACAGAAGAGGCAGGAGGGGAATAGGGCAGGAGGATCTAGGCCTGCACCAGCGTGGGAAGCTAACCCTGCCTCCAGCAGAGGAGGCTTTGTCTGAACTGTCTTAAAGTGGAATGTTACAGGCTCAAGTCATCTCTTTAGGGCACCAGGAGCTATAGAGGAAGACCGAGCCCCCACCATAACCCACCCCAGGCTGGCTTTGTGACCCCTTGGGCTCCAGTGGGAGGTCAGGCTCTGTGTGGCTAAGGAGAACTAGGCCCGTGGCTGCCTTGGATGATGAAAGGCACAGTCTCTTACCCTCCAAGCCTTCCCAGATTGATGCAAATATGGGACTCATCCGGCCGGGTGCAACTGACTTCTGGCCTGGCTGGACCCATATTTCCTACAGGAGGACGTCTGATGGTTTATCTGTTACACAGAGCAAACCTGCACACCTGCCTCCCCTGCCTCCCCACATATATCATCTCCCACTCTCCTGGTTTTTATAGTCACAAATGCAACTGGCTAGATTCCGGCCCAGACACAGCTTTGCAGCTCACGGGAGGTTCCATTTTCTCTACAGGGAAAAATCATGGTTCAGGGGAAAATGATCAGAGTGTAATATGATATTAACTTACAGACCATGAGACAGTCCTGAAATGATATGATTTTTGTTAAATTTTGCATTTATGTGCTTGTGTATGTTTGTTCAAGGAACCCTCTTGTTACTTTCTTTGGTCCTCGTAAAAATCCCATGGTCAGTAGAGCCAATGACAGTCTCATTGGGAGATGAGGCCACTGAAGGGCAGAGAACCAGGACTATCTGAGGTTAACAGGCAAAGCTGCTGTAGGATCAAATGGAAACCCAGCTCTTTGCTGGCCAGCCAGGTCCCACCTCAGGGTGCATCACTGCCATTGGGCTCTGGGTGGAGCATGTGGCCAGGTGCCTCCCCACTTGGCTCTGTGGGAACCTGAGGGCGATGTGTTCAAGTCCTCTGTGCTGGCACCCCCTGGTGAAACACTTTGCAGATCACATGCCCCTTCTGTCTGTGGGGCCCGGACTGGCATTCTGTTGGGGGCAGCTCCAGAGCAACCATTTCACATGGCAAGCAAACATTGAGAGCAGATTCAGATTTAAATGACAGCTTACTTCTTTCCCAGATGTCAGATAGCAATTAAAATAAGGCAGAGGTTATAAAATAAAGCCCACCCTACCATGCTGTGTCAGAAGAACAGGTCCACGTCAATATGCGGCATATGACTTCATGGTCCCTTGTGTCGTGGGAAGAGTCCTGTGATAAAGAGGCACCAAGGCTGGAGGATGAGTTTCGGGAGAGCAGGGACCTTGCTGGTTTGCTCAGTGCTCTATTCCACATCTAGAATAGGACCTGGCCTACAGGAGGTGCTCTGTGAATGCTTGCGGAATGAAAGAATGATTGACTTCCAATATTTCTAAGCAAGGTTGATGAGATCCTCAGGCAGGGGGCACTTTGCCATCAGAGTTTCTATTTAATTCTCAGGATAGAACTCTGAGGTGGGGGAGACAGTAGAGGCAGAGAATCTGAAGCTCTGTTTTGCTGAAAGTAACACAGTAAAATCAGTAACCGGAAGGGCTGTCATCAATAACGCAGGTCCAGCTGATTCCAGGCTTCCTGCTCCCCACACTGAGCCACACCAATAACCTTCAAAGGCCCTTCCAGGCCCCCACGTTGACAGCACTGAACCCTCTCTTATCTGCAAGGCAGCCAGCGGCACGTCCTGCTAACTGCCACCGAGGTGGCCTCTGTGTCCTACCCCAGCGCATTTTAGATGCAGGGAGAAGAGCAATGACCACAGGGTCACAACTGGGGAAGGAGTGAGGATGTGTGTGTGTGTGTGTGTGTGTGTGTGTGTGTGTGTGTGCGCGTGCCCAGGCACATGTGTGGTTTTAGATGTCATCTCTGGATTCTCAAGGTAGATGAAAGTGAAACGTCCGTCAGTCAGTTCCTGTACACACAGCCCTGAAGGGCGTACAAAGCACTGAAAATGCAGTAAATTAGAAAATAGAAATCATGTGATCTTCATCTTTATATCATTTTTCTATTAGCCATTATAGTGGCTAACACAATTTCTGGCACATCATAGGTTCTTAATCCACATTAAGTAGGATGAAAGGGTTCATGAGAATAATCCAACATTGACTATATAGCAAAATAACAATAATCCTATAACACTTTTAGCTTTCAAAGTGCTCGGCGTACTCAACTTCCCTTGACCCCAAGGGATAGACAGACATCAACCCCATGATAACAGATCAGCTAAAGCAGAGACATGATATGATCTGGCTAAGGACCCCAGAGCTGTCACACCCAAGAGGCAGAACTGAAATCAGACACTGGTCACCTGTCTTTCCCACTCCACACTTCGCCCCACACCCTGCTCTCTCTTTGTTTGCATTTGGTCAGATGGACCTCTGTACCCTGAACAGACCCAGCAGGGGTCACCTTTTTGCAAACACCACACCTGCACCTCCAGCGCACCTCTGTAGGGACCCATGCGGGTCCCTTCTAAAAAACAGCATCAGAAAGAGAGGCTTCACATGCGAAAAATGAGAACCCTGGAGAAAATTTTCTTTTTAATCAAGAAGCAGTTTCTCAAGTGAGCACAGACTATCCTGTAGTGCTGAAAAAACCTACTTCTTAAAGGCATTGCTGGCAGAAGGAGGCCGGCGGATCTCAGGAGGTAGGTAGGGAGAGAGGCCGCAGCTGTTAATCTGCTGCCCTGTGAGAATGTGAACTGGCAAATCCACAGATGCTCCCTCCAGCTTATTCCCCAGACAGCTAATGTTACTGGGGACAACTTTGATTGCTCTACCCCGCCACCCCCCTGTGGAGAACCAGCCTGGTTCCCTCCCAGGTATGTGTGAGCCCCAGCAGAGCGGTCCTTCAGCATCAAATGCCTTTCTAAAATAAACTGGCTCAGATTTTATGGGCAAAGCAGCTGGGAAGGGCAGGCTGGCTCAGTCACTCTCCCAGCACCACCAGGGACACAGGCTTCCTCTCAGTGGCCTGAAATCCATTCACAGGCATAAAAGACCTCTGTCCATCACACCTCCCTGGGGGACGACAGGCTCCTGGCCTGGGTGCTCGGGGCCTGCGCCCCAGGTTCCTCCCCTCCCGCACTCCCGCCTGCTGCCCACGTTTCAATCATTACAAGGATTTTGTAAAAATGACCTCATTTTCCTGTGAGTCCGCCAAGTCTCATGCATGTCAAAGAATTGTGGGGCCAAGAACCATTCCAGCAATTATGATGCTCTGTCAAGAAGGCGGAGTGGGAGCGGGGGATCCTCGCCGAAGAAAAAGGGGAAGGAGGCGCAGAACAAAGATTTCCAGGAGGTATTGATGGAATAAACACTGGCATTTATCTCCCCCATGCCACCCACCCACACGGAGCCAGAAACCACTGCCCTCTCCCTTTAGTGTCCAGATCTCTTACGCACGTTTCAGCCGCAGCACTTCTCCAGAACCACTGCGGGGCCCAGCTTCAGTCCAGGCACACCTCGTCCTATTGCACTTCGCTTTGTTGCGTTTTGCAGATATTATGGTTTTTACACATCAAAGGGTTTTTTGTTTTGTTTTGTTTTGGTTCTGGTTTTTCTAGCATAGGTGACACACAATGTTCTATTAGTTTGAGGTGTACAACTTAGTGACTTGGCATATATTCCATTATACCGTGTTCACCGCGAGTATAGCTACCACCTGTCCCATTACCGCACTGTTACAATATCATCGACTCTGGTCCTTACGCTCTGCCTTTTACTCCTGCGACTTACTCATTCCATGTCTGGAGTCCTGTACCTCCTACTCCCCTTCACCCATGTTGTCCCCTCTTCCTCTCTGGCCACCATCAGTTTGTTCTGATTCTGCTTTTGGTTTATTCATTTGACCTTTTTTTTTTTTGGTTCCACTTATCAGTGGAATCCTATGACATTTGTCTTTCTCAGTCTTATTTCACTTAGCCTAATACTCTCTAGGTTCATCCATGTTGTCCCAAATGTCACGATCTCATCCTTTTTTATGACTGTGTAGTATTCTGTTTTCTTTACATATACACACACATACCGCATTTTCCTTATCCGTTTGTCTGTCAACAGACAGTTGCTGCCGTGTCTTGGCTATCGTAAATAATGCTGCGGGAACAGAGGGGTGCATACATCTTTTTTTTTTCTTAAGATTTATTTATGTATTTATTTATTTATTTATTTGAGAGAGAGAGAGAGGCAGAGACACAGGAGGAGGGAGAAGCAGGCTCCATTCTGGGAGCCCAACGTGGGACTCGATCCCGGGACTCCAGGATCAGCGCCCTGGGCCCAAGGCAGGCGCTAAACCACTGAGCCACCCAGGGATCCCCGCATACATCTTTTTGAGTTAGTGTTTCTGTTTTCCTTGTTTCACTAAATACCCAATAGTAGAATTACCAGATCATATGGTATTTATATTTTTAATTTTGGAGGAACCTCCGTACTGCCTTCCATAGTGACTCTACCAATTTCCATTCCCACCAGCAGTGCACAAGGGCTCCTCCTCCTCCACATCCTTACCAACACTTGTTTCTTGTCTTCTTGATTTTAGCCACTCTAACAGGTGTGAGGTAATGCCCTATTGTGCTTTTGGTTTGCATTTACCTGATGATGAGTGATCTTGAGCATCCTTTCATGTGTCTGCTGGCCGTCTGTTTATCTTCTTTGGAAAAATATCTATTCAGGTCCTCTGTCCATTTTTGATTGGATTATTTGGTTTTTTGGTGTTGGGTTGTATAAGTTCTTTATATATTTCGGATACCAACCTATTATCAGATATGTCATCTATAAAAATCTTCTCCACTTCAGTAGATTGTCTTTTTGTTTGTTGATGGTTTCCTTTGCTGTGCAAAAGCTTCTTGCTTTGCTTTTGTTGCCCTTGCCTTAAGAGACATATCTAGAAAAATGTTGCTATTGTTGATGTTAGAGGAATTACTACCTGTGTTCTCTTCTAGGATTTTTATGATTTCAGGTCTCATTTTTTCATTTGTCTCCATGTATTTTTTGACTTCTTCTTTAAATGCTTCATTGACCCATTGGTTGTTTAGTATCAGGTTGTTTAGTCTCCATATGCTTGTATTTTTTCCAGTTTTTTTCTTGTGATTTATTTCTAATTTCATACCCTTGTGGTCAGAAAAGATGCATGGTATGATTTCAATCTTCTTAAGTTTATTGAGGCTTGTTTTATGACCTGATATATGATCTATTTTGGAGAATGTTCCATGTGCACTTGAAAAGAATGTGTATTCTGGTGTTTTTGGATAGAAAGTTCTATATATATCTGTTATATCCATCTGGTCCAGTGTGTCATTCAAAGACTTTGTTTTCTTATTGATTTTCTGTCTGGATAATCTATCCACTGATATTAAGTGAAATGGTAAAGTCTCCAACCTGCTACTACTATATTGCCGTCAACTTCTATCTTTATGACTGTTAATAAGTGCTTTTTGTAATTAGGTGCTCCAGTGTTGGGTATATAGATATTTATCATTGTTATATCCTCTGGTTGGATTGATCCTTTTTTTAAATTTTTATTTATTTATTTATGATAGTCACAGAGAGAGAGAGAGAGAGAGAGAGAGAGAGAGAGAGAGAGGCAGAGACATAGGCAGAGGGAGAAGCAGGCTCCATGCACCGGGAGCCCGACGTGGGATTCGATCCTGGGTCTCCAGGATCGCGCCCTGGGCCAAAGGCAGGCGCCAAACCGCTGCGCCACCCAGGGATCCCTGGATTGATCCTTTTACCATTATGTAGTGCCCTTCTTTGTCTCCTCTTACAGTCTTTGTTTTAAAGTCTATTTTGTCTGACACAAATGTTGCTACCTCAGCTTTTTTTTCCACTTCCATATTTTTCCATCCCTGCCCTTGTAGTCTCTATGTGACTTTAGGTTTGAGGTGAGTCTCTTGTAGGCAGCATATAGATGGGTCTTGTTTGTTGTTGTTTTTTTAATCTGCTCCACAATTATGTCTTGTGATAGAGCACGTAGACCATTTACATTTAGAGTAATTATTGATAGGTAGGGACTTATTGCCATTTTAAAAATTTGTTTTCTAGCTCTTTTGTGGTTCTTTTTTCCTTCTCTTGCTCTCTTTCTTTGTGATCAGTGAGTATCTATAGTGTTTGGTTTGGCTTTCTTTCTCCTTATTTTCTGTATATCTGTCATAGGTTTTGGGTTTGTGGTTACCTTGAGGTTCATATTTAGCATTCTAAGTAAATAGCATTCCATATTAATTTGGGCATTTAAGTACAAATACATCATTAAAAAGAAAAAAAACTTTCTTTTCCTTTTCCCTTCTCTTCCCTTTTTGTTCTCTTTTCCACATTTTATGTATACGGTATCATAGTTTACATCTTTTCACTCATTTTTCTTATGTCTAATTTGGCCATTTTTTCCACTTAAAAACGTCCCTTTAAGGTTTCATGTAAGGCTGGTTTAGTGGTAATAAACTCCTTTCTCTTCTGTTGTCTGGGAAACTATCACTTCTTCAAATCTGAATGATAGCCAGCTGGATAGAGTATTCTTGATTATAGTTTTTTCTTTTCAGCACTTCCAGCACGACTATATCATGCCACTCTCTTCTGGCTTGCAACATTTCTTCTGAAAAATCAGCTGGTAGCCTTATAGTGTTTCTCTTGTGTATAACTTTTTGTTTCTCTTTTGCTGCTTTTAAGAATCTCTCTTTATCTTTAAGCTTTGACATTTTAATTATTATATGCCATGGTGTGGGCCTCCTTGAGTTCATCTTGTTGAGAGCTCTCTGTGTTTCTTGAACTCGGATGTCTATTTCTATTTCTATCTCTAGGGTAGAGAAGTTTTCAGTTATTATTTATTCAAATAATTTTTCTACACCATTCTCTCTCTTCTTCTATTGGGACCCCTATAATGTGAATGTTTGTTCTCTTAATCTTTTCCAAGAGGCCTCTTAATCAATTCTCATTTTTAAAAAATTCTTTTCTCTTTCTGCTGTTCATCTTGTGTGCTTTTCATTACCCTTTCATCCAGATCGCTGATGCATTTTTCTGCATCATTTAATCTACTGTTGATTCCCTCTAGAGTGTGAGTTTTATTTCGGTTATTATATTCTTCAACTCTGATTGGTTCTTTTAAGATATTTTCTATTTCTTTATTGAAGGTCTCACTGAGTTCTTCCATTCTTTTGCTCTAACCCAGTGAGTATCTTTACGATCATTACTTTAAACTCTTTATCAGGTATATTATTAATCTCTCATTTATTTTTCTAAGTTTTTGTTCCTTTTTCTTTCTTTTAGAGCATATTCCTCTGTCTCCTCATTTCGCTTGATTTTCTGTTTTTCTTTCTATGGATTAGGTGAAATGACTACTTCTCCTAAAGTTGAAGGAGTGGTCTTCTGTATGGTGTTCCCTGTGCAACCACACATACGTTGTGACTTTTGCTGGTTGGCTGGAGCTGCGGCCGTATATACTGGTTACTCTTTTAAACTGTGGCATGGCCCTGTCTCTGTTGAGTT